TAGCCAGCGACAACGTACGAACCGTCCGAGGCTCCTGGCTTTGGGACAACGAGATTGGATGTTTGGAGAAGGCGATTGGCTCGCTGAAACATGGATTCTAAAATTGGCATTGGCACTGTCGTAACGCCACAAGAAGATGCAGTTACTGGCAATATAAGTTTTGTTGAAGTGAGCTCGTCTCTTCCAGGGTTACTTGCCTCCGTTTGAACCGTTTTCTTGTTATCCATGTCACTCTTCAAGAATGTTTCAAGCTTTCGCATCTTCTCTTCTGGTCCGAGCTTGCTCCATTGCCGATCATTGACAGCCAGATGTTGGAATTCGGGTCGAACTTCATATGCGCCCTTTCCAAAAACAGCTCGGTCTTCATCGCGAAATTGCGCATCTACGACATTTTTTATCTCCTCTATAAATTGGTGAGGTTGCTTCGTGTCAAACTTCAGGCAATGTTTTATCATAAAATTTCCCGCTTCCGTGTCATTGTTCGTGTATTCTTTCGGAGGGTCACCAAGACCGGCTTCGATACGAACTGACGAAAGCATCGAGGTCTTCATATCATTTGCCTATTAAATTAATAAAATTGAGTAATATTGTAAATAAAGTAGATCTGATTCAACATTTATTTAACAAGAGTGACGCTTGCGCACAATATATTTCAAATATTTTTTGTAATAGCGCCCGCATTCTGTCGCTTTTATGAATGTAGACAACATAAATATATTTATAGTGAATTTCTCTGGTGGTGGTACTAAGGAACTTGTGTACACAATTTTAAAGCCCGACTGCGAGCAGTTGCAAAACTGTAGGTGTTGGGCTTGAACCAGTGGCCCTGCGATTCCGGTTGGACGCATCGTAACATTTAAAGTGAAGGCTATTCACCCACACTCGGCACAATGCACTCTACCTTTACACACACATACTTGCGGTCATACTCAGCAACCGGACCATCCGTAGCTCAATTGGTTAGAGCTCTGAGCGAATGGGAGTTTCTGGGGCGAGATCGAAGGGTGGGGAGATGATAATCAATTTTTCGAATATCAATATTGAATGAACCATAATGGTGATCTCATGCAGATCTAGCGAGATGTCAATTCAATTTCATGCAGCATGTATGATGTCATAACCAGTGCCAAAATGTTGTTCATGTGACGTACACCAGCCTTAATCGTGAAAAGTGTTTCAATAATAACTGACGCGATTAATCAATCAGGAACAACAATATTACGTGTTCAACATATGGCAAAAAATACCATCATACCATTTTATTTTTAATTTCTTAGAGCATAATTTAATGTTTACCTTTTCCCGGAGAAACCATTCGTGAAATGTTGTCGATTTTCTAGAAGAACATTCCGCCGATTCTCGTTCGTTCCACCCATGTTCCAGAGCTTGAAATTTGGCGTCAAACTCTTCGCTGCTGGCACAATCAACTAGGCCTGAGTACTTTATATCCTCCTCTTGTTTTCCAAAGATCTCGGCAAGAAATAACCTCTTGGTTGCAGGTAAAAATCCTCGTTCTTGTAATTCTCGCTTAACGTTGTCCTTGAAGTGTATGAAACACCGCAAAAACGTCGCAAAGCGAAAATTCCGCTGGAATCCTTGGATGAGAGCTTTCTCTCCGTCGGTACCACACGCTAAGATTCCCTCAAGATCTGGACAGAGAGTGATTAGCGTATTGGCAAATCTAGAGAAGGTTTGCCAATCCTTGCGCTGGTGCATGAGGATAGGACCGAGAAAAACGGGAGGTTTCTTTGTTGAACCGTGATGAAGCTTCAAATTTCTATACGTAGTTACAGTCAAGCTGATGTTTTCCTCGAAAATGTTAAAAGTCGGATCAGCTCCAAACACGCAGAACTCGCTCGGGTTTGTACAGAAATGTTTAATTTCACGCAACTGCCGATCGGTAGCCAGGATAACGAGGAAATTGGGGTGTATTGTGCATTCTCTGATAAAGGCAGAATCACCGTTTCCTTTTTCTTCGCTCTTTGCTTTTTCGAGCAGTTCCCAAATTCCCTGAACTTTATTCGCCTTCTCAGCTTTTTTCTTCGCGGCGCATCTGGCACTGTAGATATCACTAGGTCCCCGCGGAAGTTGCCCGGCACTTCGAGCTTGGGTTACATCCCCTACGGAGCAATACACCTTGTCTAAAGCAGCCTTAACTGTTTCATTTCCTTTAATGGACTCTTCCAATGCTTCTCTGGTACTTGCCATCACACGCTTGTACGACTTGCTTCTCGTACTCTTTGAGTTGCCATGTGGTAAAATTTTCGTGACTTCGTGTTCTCTGCCGCTGAACAGGTACTGAATTAAAGTATAACGTGGCTCTACTCCATCTGAATCTATGAATAAATAAATAAATAAATTAGTTAATTAATTAATTAATTAATTAACTAATTAATAGCAATGGAGCCATCACGATTCTACAATTAACACCATCACCAAACAGGAAATACAAGAGGTAATGGGTCTATGGGACTGTCTACGAAAAACTCCCGGATCTGTATAATTATTATCCACTGGTTATCGCGTGCGTAATCAAGCTCGTAAAAATACAATATTCATCGTGCTAATTCTCATCGGGAAAAATATATTAGTTTTAACTTTAAACGAAGCACGAATAAAGAACTGAACTTTCAACACCGTAAGACTCTATGAAATTATCCATGCATCGACTTGTAAAACGAGGCATGCTAAGGCTAAAAGGTCGCGAACAATGTGTCACGCATACATACAAAATTCTGACGTGACTGATAGCGCGTCCGTGATTTCACTCAAACACCGTTGACCCCATCACAGTTTATATCCTTAAACTGTGACCCTATCGGTCACGTATTCCCCGCGTGTTGGCAAAATCGTCGCATGCTTATTAAGCTCTCTAATATGTTTCTTGGTTACGCCAGGGTTTGTGTGCAGTGTCGCAACAATTACATGTTACGGACAGACAACAATGGAAAATTCACCAGCTAGATCAGTCTGGTGTATATTGAATATTGTATAATATAAGTTAATATACCTTCCATGGTTATCAGGATCTTTCGCAGGTCTGAACTCGACCGATTCCGGTAATAAACTCTCTTCAACGTGAATGTACAAGGCCCAATAACCTCGCTGTCGCCATCATTCAGTAACGTTACATGGTTAATATTGCCATGTTTGTCCCGTTCTATGTTGACACGCTTCTTTGGCGAGCCAACATGTTCCCACGCGCCCATGTCATCACATTTAATGTCATCCTTCTTCTTCATCTTCGCGTTGTCCACCAAAAACGTTACATTATGAGCTATGTTCACCGGCTGAGAAACACATAATCGTTCCGGAGAATGATTCCCAAGCAAAATTTCTGCCAAATTCTCCACCGAAAATGTTGTTTTTCTCCATTGAAAAACAGGAGTGAGAACGTCACCGTTATATGGAGCTCCTTCCACGCGATCGGTCTCTTTATCTGAACTTGTAGTGTCAATACGGAAATCGTCAGAAGATGAGTCAGTATCTGTGGAATCGCTAAATAGAGGTAACAGAAATGTTCCAATGTAGGGAATGTGTGAATAAAGGAACTCAGCTTTATCACAATCACAAACAACATGCAGGAGTATACCATGTTTTGTGTTTGCGTTTTGGTATGGGGTACTCGCATGTACTTACACAATTGTGTAAAAATTGTTATTTTGAGCCAAGTTAGTTGGTGCGCCTTCCGTAAACTAAAAAATTAAAAGAAGGGCATGGCACTCATAGTAAAAATATAGCATCATACAATACTGTACAATGATAGCATAATATTAAAATCACCTCTTCTTCAATTTCCAAATGTTTCGACGCAGTTAAATCACTCACTAACTGATCCATATCTTGCCCAGCAGAAGTACTCTCGAACACAGGGTCTAAAGGCAAAGGACAAACAATATGCTACCGAGGCCTGCTTTATTCATTGATTTGAGAAATTTTGCGTTTTTTCTTAACATCAAGTTACTGTGTCATCAGAGCAGTGTCTGTATTGGAAAAGACGAAAAACGGTAAGGCGGTATCTCATATTCATGCAGTCTAAAATACAATGCGAAATTGGGTATGGACTTTAACTGAAAAAATATAGAAACAATATTCAACTACTCATTTAAAAAATTAGCTTGCAACGGCTTCTGGATTGTTATAGTGGACAAGTATAGCAATGATTGTTCCCAATTTTTCCTCAAAATATTTTAGTATTTCAAACTTGTCTTAATATTTAACATTTTTGTGGCCCTTTTTTCCAAGAAGTATAGTTCAAACAAGAAAACTATATTACCGACCAAGGAAGGTCGTGGGTTCGAATCCCAGCCGGGCCAAGTAGAGTTTTACTCTGCTTGCCAGGTATGGTTTGAATATCACTCGGTGTGGCATTTACCACCAGTTTGGATGTTTGCAAATAGCAGTTGATACCTCTTTCTAATTTCCGTGTCATCCATGCGAGACTTTGAGCTTCGTCCCCAGTTATCCCACTCGCTTTTAAACGCTTAAAAATCCATTTGACTAGCAGCATTGACGACCGCGTAGTCGCATCTTTGGTGGCCACGAGAATTCCATTATCGTCACCTCCTAGATCCGATCCGATGGGATGGGTGTCAATTAGAAGGTATCCGCTGTTTTATATACCCACCAAAAAGATATAACTGCCACACGTGTAGATGCCTATTTGGGATTGCATTTCATCTTGGGCTTGGCACTTCTTTCTTAAACCATCTAATAGTTCTTTTCTTCCAACCTGTGAGAAAACCCCGTTGGTTGACAAGCACTCTTCTGACAGCTCATAGTTCGCGCTCAGCAGTCCATTCTCTTCCAAAATGGATTTGGCTTCAGCAGAATCATAAAATTTAGATGGGTCTCGATGCTCGTTGATTTTCGGTGGAAGGCTTGTGATGGCCTCTTCTGCTAGCGATACTAAGTGCTCCCACGAAGGATTATCTTCCTTGTTCGACAGGTGATCCTGTTGAACTGCATCACTAATTGCGATGGCTAAAAACGCGCACGCGTTAGTTCCATCGTTTTTTGGCAGCATCGATTGACCTGAACGTGTAGCAGATGTAGACACTTGCGCTAACAAGTCCGGTAGCGAAATTAAAATCAGCCGTTTCGACAGCAGTGTTTTGGCTATTTTTAAGAGGTTTGATGGTCAGGGATGCTTCAGGTTCCTTTAAATTCACCACATTGCAAATTTCCATTGCTGTTGGTCTCGATCCTGGCTCAAACTTTGCACATGCGTCAAACACTTCCTCTATTTGCGACCATTCCGTAACTTGTAACACCTCATACTTTCTGTCGTGCTCAGGAAGACACTTCTGCTCCATGAACTGCCTCATCATATTGCCATCTAAAACAGCTCTGAAATTCTCTGCCTCCTTGCGGTAAGGACTGCTAAGATTCGGGTTTATCGTGGCATATGCTAAGATACCCAACGACCACATATCCCCCAACTGCAAATCAATCTGGGTTGCTTTCGTCAGTCTACCAGTTTGGATTTCCAGGGCCATGTAGATAGGTGTGCCACGACAAACATCTTGCGTCCTTGACTGCAGTACAGATTGAGTTTGTGCGTCTAATGATCTGCTTAGACCAAAATCGGCAACTTTGCAGACAATCGGGCACTTCGCATAATCTTCCTCAAGACCAGTGAGATCATTGTTACAATAGTGTTGATTGGATACCAAAATGTTCCGAGGCTTTAAATCGCGGTGGGCAATGTTACGTCTGTGTAGGTACTCGAGGCCGGTCACTGTGTGCAAAACATCAGCGAATGCTTCAAAATTATATTCGCAATCCACATAGTGGTAAAAATCTTCGAGGTTGCTGACTAGTTTGTCAACACCAAATGGGCTAAAACAAAAACCTTCATACTCCATCACAATGGCATGTGGACTGTCCGAAAAACCAAAAAACTTTGATATATTCGGGTGCTTTGCATCATTGACCATTTCAGCTTCTTTGACAAACCGACGTTTCGCTTCGAGCGATTCACTTTTCAACTTTTTGATCACGATTTTTCGAGCTTCATCTCCACGACCATAATTTGCCAAATAAACAGTACCAAATGCACCACTCGCAAGTTCTGTTTGGTCCTGGACTAATGTCCAGTCGAAGGATGGCAAACCATGATCTTGTTTAAGACGTTTAAATAGCTTTGGGACTCGAAAACTCCCCGACATTTTTCTATATTAAAGACAACGACCACAGCAGGACCAGGAAAGAGGAGTTTGATCTATTCGTACCAGGCCTCTATTACGCCGCAAGCGCGACGCGAGTCGATTCAGACAGGCCACATTGTGAATTTACGCTAAAGTTTAATGCAACTAAATTAAAGATATAGCAAACCTCATAAATACAAGTGAACAACATTAAATGTATGATAAACATCATAATTAGGAGCAATAAATTAATAATATTAAAATAGTATTGAATTCTCACAGGACTGACGTACAATTATGATTAACATGCAATTAATAACTAGTAACTCCGCGAGTATTAGTGCTACCAGAAAGATTTTTATACCGCCTGATAGAGAAAATCGAGGGCTAAAAACCCGTTTCTAAGAACTTTTTACGAGCTTTCATACTTAGCGAGGTTAGTTTGCCCAAATGTCCAGTATTTTTTCGAAGATTCGTTCGACAGTCTCCAAATAAGAACACTCACGCGATGGTTTGTTTACTTTTTCGTTTGGCTTTAACAACTAGTAACTCCGCGAGTATTAGTGCTAGAAGAAAGATTTTTATACCGCCTGATAGAGAAAATCGAGGGCTAAAAACCCGTTTCTAAGAACTTTTTACGAGCTTTCATACTTAGCGAGGTTAGTTTGCCCAAACGTCCAGTATTTTTTCGAAGGTTCGTTCGACAGTCTCCAAATAAGAACACTCACGTGATGGTTTGTTTACTTTTTCGTTTGGCTTTAACAACTAGTAACTCCGCGAGTATTAGTGCTAGAAGAAAGATTTTTATACCGCCAGATAGAGAAAATCAAGGGTTAAAAAGCCGTTTCTAAGAACTTTTTGCGAGTTAAGGTTGTTCATGTAGATAAAGTAGCACAGTTTTGCTAAGTGAATTTGATGTATATACCATTCGATAGCTCTCATCATGACGAATCTATTGATATAAACAATATGTAATTATTCGCAAGAAAAATGTTTTTTTATCAAAGAAATTCCCGGATTCCCCGATTCCCTGTTTTAAAGCTAGCCATAAGTCTAATAGACCCGAAAATATCACTTAACCGACTATACAGGGTGTATAAAAAAAAAGGTAATCCAACTTCAACACGCTATTGTACGTGAACTACTCAGTCTATGAACGAATTTTTTTCACATTCGGAAAGATCAGGCTTTTAACTATCGGATGACATGTTTTTAATACCAAATGGTGAAAAAATGAGCAAATAGGAGGCTGATAAAAAGTGTTAGTCAGGTGAAAATATGCGATTTTGACTAACATTTTTTAGCAGCCTCCTATTTGCTCATTTTTTCACCATTTGTTATCAAAAACATGTCATTCGATGGTTAAAAGCCTAACCTTTCGGAATGTGAAAAAAATTCGTTAATAGAATGAGTAATTCACGTACAATAGCGCACCAAAGTTGGATTACCTTTTTTTTGATACACCCTGTATAAACAAATATATATATATATTAGCCGTTTATACCATTTAACCTGATAATACTGATCGGCACTTGCTAGTAATATCGCCATTTGCTTCAGATTTGTACATTTTAAACAGAACTGTCTCGCTCCATTGTTTCTCTATAACAAATAGTTATTATTAAGCACTGTTATGGTTAAAAAATTTTTAACCTCCATAGTCGATTATACAGCAGTATCAATTGCTATCAACACATGTTAGATTCGTGAAGTACATTATCAAAATAAGTCGTGTATATTATATGTGCAGTTAAAATACGATAGTGGATGTGGACGTATTCTTTCTTGGTTCTGCGTTTAATGAGTTTACAAATTCTCGAACATTTGCTCGCTTTTCGCTTAAAATATTTCAAAACAACACTTCGTCGCTCCATCGCTCCTTATTGTATTTTGCGCTTCTGAATATTAATCGCGGCCTTATGCGCATTAATGCGCTGTTCAAGATGAAATTGTGTGTACTGGGGGGAACAACACACATATCATCGTAATGAATGTTATAAAATTTACAATAACCACAGTAATTCTTTCATATTTTGTTTAAATTGGAAAAGAATATACAAATCAGAAAACTATATACTTGATCAAACAAACTTCCTGATACCCACCCACATAGGATCAAAAACGACAAACAAAAAACACTCCGCCCCCCGGAGTTTACACTATGACTGACTGACTGTCTGTTGTGAATTTTCGCCACTCACCACAATACTGCAAAGTTTCACAGAAACTTTGCACTAAAAACCTACTAGAGGAGATAACATTCTAGATCTTTTTATCACAAACATTCCACATTATTGGAAAAAAGTAAAAGTTGTAAAAAGCTTAGTAAGATCGGACCACAAAATGATTATAACATACCCTCAAGATGTTGTGAAAGCAAAAAGAAAAGACTCATATATTAGAGATGTAAGGCAGCATAGAAAACTAATTATGCGGAAAGAACTAGAAGATGTTGACTGGAATGATATAAATAAGGAACATTCATTGGACAAGATGGTCGAAAAGTTTTACAAAATTATCGAGCCTAAATTTGAGAAAACTTTTCCAACGATTAAAGTTCGCACATCCACTAAAGACCCGCCATTTATATCTCCTCTAGTAAAACATGTATCAAAACAAATGAAGAAAGCAATTAAAGCCAGAGACAGTGAGGCTAATATTCGGTTACAAACCCAAAATAATAAACTTATTCGAAGAAATCAATTCTATGCCGTACGGAATGAAAATAAAAAATACAAATCAGGAACAAAAGACTGGTGGTCAAATATAAATAAAATTACAGGAAAAACTGATAACAAAATACCAGTTACATCTTTCATCGATGCTGATGAAATAAACATTTTCTTTCATGATGTTTGTACCGACCCACTCTACACGGCACCAGAGTTACAAGAAATCCCAGAAGGTACCAGAGTTCCTAAGTTAACAGTAGAAATCATTTAAACTTGCCCTAACTTCATCTACTGTAAAAACTATTTCAGACAAACGTGGGAGGTCATTATGAATATCTAACAAAGTTGTATTTCCGTTTGAAGAGAATTGTGATGTAAATACAGAGGAAAAATATAAGTTCAGCTTTCTCAGCCGAGGTATTAGCAGTGACTCCATTGTGAGTAAGTACAGCAGGTCTCCCACGAGACAGCAAAATTGCCTTGTGATAGCTCCAAAACAACTTGGGATTATCTTTAAATGCAGACTCAATTCTATTTAAATAGTCCCGATGCTTTACTCTGATTATATACTTCACTCTCTGACTTAGAGCACACAATTTTAACTTACGAGATTCGGTTTTCTTAATTTGATACTTTCGCAATGCAGAATATTTCATTCGTAAGCAATGACGTACTTCGGCATCAATCCATGGAGGTGAATTAGTATCTTTAACTGTCTTTGTGGGAATATACTTATCAACAGCCGTTAGAAATAATCATTCCATCTAAGCCAGTACTCATTAATTTTTTCAGATACAGCAATATCAAAAGGGACATGCTCCAATGAGCTCCGCCATTCATCAAAGTTCCCTTGTTTAAAGTTATAGACTTTACGATGCACAGGATCAGCTCGTTGAAACTTTACTCGAATCGAGAATTCAATAATATAATGGTAAGAAGGGAATTCACTTCGTTCTGGGCTATATGTACAAACATTTTCTATCATTTCCGGACAATTGCATAGTACAAGATCTAATTTGTTTCCAGCAATATGAGTTGGCCCTTTAAGAAACTGAAATAAGAAATTATCTCCCACCAAGTCACACATTAAATCCCCAGCAGAACTACCTCCTACATTTATAGGAGAAGACAAATCTGCCCAATCTAGACCAGGAATGTTAAAATCACCGATCAGTAACACACAGCTAGATTCGGAAGTACTCGTCAAGGAGGAATTTAGTTGTAATGATTCATTGTTGCTTGAGTCAGGGGGTCGATAAAACGTGTATAAAATTACTGACTTGCCGCATGTGAACACTTTGACAGCGACCATTTCGATATTTTCTCTCTCAAGATCGCTGCGACAAATAGCTTGTAAATCCGATTTAACAGCTACAAGAACACCCCCACCGGTCTTGCAAAGCCTATCTCGTCGAAAAATCGAACAACCAGGTAGTAATTCACTGCTTAAAACTGTATCATTAAGCCAAGTTTCACATATACAAACCAAATCGTACAGACCTGTATTTACCAATTCTTGTAATAAAGAGATCTTGCAAACTTTTATAGACGTGTCTATGTCAGATTGTACAAAAGCCTTTAAGCTTCTAGCGTTCAAATAAAGAGTTTTAAGACAATTTTGAGGGCCCGGATTAGGATTAATGTCCATAAAGATGGTTAATTCCATATCCTTATGAAGGTAGGCGGCGACAAACAAACGTAGCCATGTTTGTACCATCTATACTGAGCAGATGAAGGCACGCAACGATAACTTCATTTATATAACTGTAAACAGTTTATATCAGAATGAAACCAAACAACAAAACTAATGGCTAGTGTGAAGCCCTTTTATTACCCAAATGTTTGTGCTATATTTACATTCACAGTCAAAACAAATACCCATAATTCGGTCATTGCTACAATTATATATGTACTATAAAAACAGAAGTGTGCACAAAAAACCAAGTTTCTATTAATACAGATTGCTATATCTCTCTAATTTTTAAAACCACACAAAATGGACAAACTCGTCTGTTTCCTTTGCCTAGATAGCCATGGCATGCTAATATAAATTGTCTGTAACCAGCTTTGCGAAATGCTCTCGTGCTGTTTTCTTCTCTATCATTACGGATGTCACTTCTATTGTGAATACAAAGCTCTAGCACATCTGGATAAGGGCATAATTTTGCAAAACGTGAAGTTAGGGTTGTGCATTTTTTTGTTTGCAGCATCTGTTTTCGATCTCCTGTTGCATTGGTCTACATTTACGACATGTGCACCAATCTGGCACAGATTCTAGTGTGGGATGTAGGTCATCTGACTGAGAGTGGGAAGGGTTCTGACTTTGAGAAGGATTTGTACCAGAGCTCA